GATGAAATAATTGGATTACACGAAGAAGAGACTCATAAAATATTTGACATTGCAAAAACGGTTTTGGTACTAATGATAAGATGTTTACATGATTCCTGGAAACAGCCTTTAGGATATTTTTTTGTTGGTACATCCTGCAATAGTTTATCATTGAAAAACATAATTTTTAATTGTGTATCAAAATTAAGTAGTATTTCTTTCAATGTCAAGGTTATGATTTCAGATATGGGTGCAAATTTTAAGTCATTCTCTGACAGTGTAGGTGTAACACCTGAACATCCTTACTTTAATGTTGGATCTCAGGAAGTTATTTATATGTTTGATCCTCCTCACTTGCTTAAATCGACAAGAAATAACTTTTTTAAATACAGATTTGTATCTGATGATAAGATTATTGAAAGCAAACATCTAAAATCATTTTATGAAGCTGATAATCAACGCACTCACCGCCTGGCACCTAAATTAACGGACACACATATTAATCCAGGCCCATTTCAAAAAATGAAGGTCAAGTATGCTGCACAAATTTTTAGTAAAACAGTTACCAGTGGTATGAGTGTGTGTATAACAGATAAATCACTTCCACCTGAATCTAAGGATACAATTTTGTTCATAGATTCAATGGATAATTTGTTTGATATCTTCAATTCAAGGCATACTTCAAATTCTAATGAATCAGACATTGAATTGGAAGATGAGCCAACTGGTCTAAAACGTTTTTGTTTTCCCTATGATGGTTCTTCCTATCAGAATAATTTCTTACTTTCTATGTTCAATTTCTTCAAAAACTTGAAAATTCAGAAGTATAATGTTGTAAGACACCAGTGGGTGGATGTTGTGAAGAGTTACAACATATAATTTTTAAAAGGTTGGATGGTTTCAATTGCTGGTCTTATACGCTTGTATACAAATTTATCTTTAAATTATGATGATTTGAAGTTATTTACTAGAAGGTTAAATCAAGATTGCCTAGAAAATTTGTTTGGCACTATTCGTATTCAAAATGGTAATTGCATAAATCCAACAACTATACAATTCCAACGTTCTTTCAAAAAATTATTTTGTTTAAGTTATTTTGAATACAATGATGGAGCAAATTGTATAGAAGATTTAGATAGCGTTTTAACCAATATGAATAATACACCAGCAGAACAGTTGAAAATAATTTTTCCTGAGACAAAATGCGTTGTTCAAATAAATAAGTTAAGCGTTGATGGTAGACATTATAGGTCTTTGGCGTTGCCAGAAAAAAATGCATTCATATACATATGTGGTTATTTAATAAGTAAATGCTTAAAAATTCATTCTTGTGATTTATGTTTGGAATATGCTCGATCTACAACAGAACTTTCCAGTGAACACTTTTTCACCTACTTTAAGTCACATCAACAGGATTCAACTTCAATATTTTCTTCATTAATGACTCCAGATTCAAATTTTTGCCAGTGTGTGTATGAATTGGACCAAATATTCACTAATAACTTTCAACAATTGTTGCCATTACCAAAAGTTGGAGAAAAAATTAAAAATTTGATGAGTTTTGTATATTTTGAGCATAATTGTCCTCAGTTTCCCAAAGATTATTTATTGAATTTATTTATTAGATTCAGAATTTATACCACTATAAGCAGAACCAACAGATCTCTTAAAGGCCCTAAGCCTAAAAACAGAAAACTCCAAATTTTGTGTAATTTATAAATTATATTATATGTATAATGTAATGTATTTTTAAATGTGATACTTGTGTAAACTAAACTTCTTAGTCTCTAAGATCATGATTTAATATTATTATTATTTATGTGTATTTTTATTATTATTTTGTGTAAATAATTATATATTAAATATATATATACTTTAAATTAAATAACAGCTGAAGATTTAAAAACAATATTCCCTGAAAACCAAAAGGTAATTCAAATTAATTTGTTACCCATTGATGCTACCAATTACAGATCATAAGAATTGCCAGAAAGAAATGNTAATAGTAATAACTGCAACCTCTTATGTAATAATTATTTGAATTGGGGAATTGTATTTAAACTATAGTATTCTTGACTTTATGAGAGTCCCAAAATTCGGTAACGTTACATTATATTTGAAGAACAACAAAAAAAAATTTTACATTAAAAGATTTAAGAAAAAACATGCATGCATTAATGCATAGTAAATCATTACCTTTGTCGCTCTTCTCAGAATTAAAAATACATTCATAATCTTGCAAAACTAATAAAATAAATGTGTCAAATGCCTGGCATTAATAAATAATTTGTAATATAGGCTCAAACTCCATCTCTGTTTATAATAATTAATCATTGATATAATTATAAACACTTATGTGCTTTGATCCAAAGTGCTGCAAATGTATTGAAAAAACTATGTCCTTCCTACCAAATAATTTTAAGTCATTCAAATATACAATTCATAATAAACCATAATTTATCGCAATTCATAACATGAATTTGTAACAATAGTATAAAAGTTTTTTTTTTTTCAGTTAATATACGTACGTGAATTTTATTTTATTTGACTGAAATAGTAGTTTCATGTTTTTATTTGTGTTAACGAAATGAGCTTGGAACCAAAAGATGTATGAAAAAACACATTTTTTTTATCTATCGATTTTTTTATACAATATCCATTTTTTATATTGTATATCATAACAGTACATAGCTCTTATGTTTTCTAACACTCTGTTGACAAGGACTGGTCCATCTTCCCTAAACATATAATATATCATTGTGTTGTCAGACAATGTAAACATCCCTACACACATTACACTAACAGCCCCCCTCAATACTACCAAGATACCAGCATACGAATAGATACCTGACAGATAAATTCCATAACATAATTAAGGGAGACATTGCAAAGTATATCGTTTTTTCGTTTTTATAATTGAGACGTTATACTGTCGTATAGTTTGTATTCTTGTATAGTTTTAAATATTTTTAGATATAATACATTTTCTCTTTTGGTTCCAAGACATCAAAATTGAAAAAACTCGGATAACTTTAAATACCATCCGTATTATATTATAAAATATGAGTGATATTATTGTTATCTTATTAGTTTATTATAACAATTTTGTTTCCTAATATTTGACGATTTTTTTCATTATTTTTCAGCATATCGTAAGAAATACTTTTTTTTTGATCTTTAAAATTAACTTTTTGATTGCACAGTGACGATTGATATCACAATTGGCTTCCACGGTAGTGTCCGTGTTGAGGTCGTCATAGAAAATATATTGATTCAACAACATTTGTAAAATGTGTATAATATATTGTTTTTCCCGGCCGCATTTCGGTATCAACCGTTTCCAGGACATAGTGAATTGCGAAACGGTCAATACCATGTTGTGGGTTCAATTCCATTTGGAAAACGCAGATTATTTGTATTGTTTTAAAACATTAAAATATTTTTTTTAATTGTTTTCTTNTGAATACAATGATGGAGCAAATTGTATAGAAGATTTAGATAGCGTTTTAACCAATATGAATAATACACCAGCAGAACAGTTGAAAATAATTTTTCCTGAGACAAAATGCGTTGTTCAAATAAATAAGTTAAGCGTTGATGGTAGACATTATAGGTCTTTGGCGTTGCCAGAAAAAAATGCATTCATATACATATGTGGTTATTTAATAAGTAAATGCTTAAAAATTCATTCTTGTGATTTATGTTTGGAATATGCTCGATCTACAACAGAACTTTCCAGTGAACACTTTTTCACCTACTTTAAGTCACATCAACAGGATTCAACTTCAATATTTTCTTCATTAATGACTCCAGATTCAAATTTTTGCCAGTGTGTGTATGAATTGGACCAAATATTCACTAATAACTTTCAACAATTGTTGCCATTACCAAAAGTTGGAGAAAAAATTAAAAATTTGATGAGTTTTGTATATTTTGAGCATAATTGTCCTCAGTTTCCCAAAGATTATTTATTGAATTTATTTATTAGATTCAGAATTTATACCACTATAAGCAGAACCAACAGATCTCTTAAAGGCCCTAAGCCTAAAAACAGAAAACTCCAAATTTTGTGTAATTTATAAATTATATTATATGTATAATGTAATGTATTTTTAAATGTGATACTTGTGTAAACTAAACTTCTTAGTCTCTAAGATCATGATTTAATATTATTATTATTTATGTGTATTTTTATTATTATTTTGTGTAAATAATTATATATTAAATATATATATACTTTAAATTAAATAACAGCTGAAGATTTAAAAACAATATTCCCTGAAAACCAAAAGGTAATTCAAATTAATTTGTTACCCATTGATGCTACCAATTACAGATCATAAGAATTGCCAGAAAGAAATGCTTTTACATATGTATGTGGTTATTTAATAATGAACTATTATAACATGCATTCTTGTGAAACGTGTATAAGATATGGCAGATCTACCACAAAGTTATCTGATGAACTTTTTTTCACACACTTCAAATCACATCAACACAGCTCTATATCTATGTTTTCATCGTTAAAGGCTCCAGATTGTAATTTTTACCAATATATTTTTGAATTAGACAATTTATTTACAAATCGATTTCCTACTTTAGCACCATCACCAAAAGTTGGGAAAAAACTTAAAACTTTAATGTTAAATGTATATTTTGAACATCCATGTGAACAATTCCCCCATGACTATTTGTTAAACTTATATATAAGATTTAGAATTTATACTATTTTGACCAGAACTAACCGTAATTTGCGAATACCTCGCATGAAAAATAGAAAATTGCAAATTGTATGTCACTTATAAATATTGTTATGTATATATTTTGTTAAATTGTCTAATAGAAGGTAGATAATTCATATTCATTATCAATGATATTAAATAATTATGCATTTTAATAAAATCATACCCGAAAAAACAAACTACATATAAATTTATTGAATAAATATCTTAAAAATATATTAGCCATCATAAATTCAATATTCGTATCATATAACATAAAAAATCGAAAAAAATTGATGTTATATATCAAAAAAATCTTATCACATCTTATCACATATTTATTGTATGATTAGTCGTAATAACAAGAATGATGTTGTAAGCTTAGCGGTAAGACAAGAAGTTACGAACCATTTCAAGGCCATTGAGAATTCTAAACACATTAACATTGGCCGCCCGAGAGTGTCGCTTCTATAGTATTCTATGGTTTGATGGGTCATGATTATGTTGAAGGAACTGAATGTGCAGACTCTTGGCCAGAAGAACAAGTATTATAAAATATCAATAAGATTTATTGCTTATAGAGTTTTTTAAATTTACTTATATTATTTTTAGGAGGATAATATTGAACGTTTAGTTGCTGGAGATCAAGGGATATTTGATGCTGAACCTTCAGTGTTAACTTTGAGGCAAACTACTGATATAGATCCAGGTTTGTATTGTTATGATTAGTATTAATTCATTTAAATGATTGCATCTGTTTTTAGTTACAATAAATGAGAACATAAATGATCTGGATGAATTGTTAGCTACAGTTGATGACAACTATGTAGTATTACAACCTTATTGTGAAGATGAGTTTACATCAAAACATCTTTTACAAGAAACTTCAATTTCAGCTTCCATAGGACCATCCCAATCTACTCCAAAAAGTAATTTACTAGCAACTCCAATTTCAGCTTCAATAGGAGCATCTCAATCAATTCAAAAAAAGCAAAGTAAACATTTTTCATTATAGTTGTAGTTTAATGGGTAAATTCTAATATAAATATGTACCCATGTACCTATTTTTAAATTAAAAATATTATTAATTTGTTGTGTTGTATATTTTTTAAAACTTAATTATACAAAATATTTATTTATTGATTGGTTTTCATAGTGTTGACAAATAATGCAAAGCAAGTGAAATTAGGTAATCAACTGCAGACTGCCAGAGATGCGTTCTCATTGATTGCTGAAAAACAAGTTGAAGCAAATTTTAAAATAGCTGATGCACTTACAACTATTGCTACAGCATTGGAGAAGTTAGCGGAAGATAACGATAAAAAAAGATTGGAAAACGAAAAACTTATAATAGAAATCTATACTAAAGTTATAGATAAACTATAAATTTTTGAAATTCTTATTTCAAATCATTTACTAAATTTATGTTTTTATGATAAAAGGTTTATCAGTTTATTTTAATAATGTTTTTAATTTGTTATGCTAAATTCCTAAATAAAAGTGATTAATATATTAATTGTTATGTAATGAAAAAGAATGTATAATAAATTATTTTAAAAAATATTAAAATATAACAAATACTATAGTTTTAATTTGTAATGCATTTTTATTGATCATTGTTTCCATCTCTATAGTTTCCAAACTGTTCCAACATTAATTGTTTTTGAATACGTTGAGCAATTGCTCGAGGTCCTCTTTCATTGCCGATTAGAGCTGGGTCAAATTCAGGTTCAGGTTGATTTTCAAGTAATTCATCTTGATTGTTTTCTTGATCAATGTTATCAAAATCTTCAAGAGTAGGTAGATTGCAATGGATACGAATATTATGAAGAGTAGCACATGCATTGACAATTTTACCTGCCATGTCAGGTGAATACATAAGCACTCTCTGATAAGACAAACATCTCCACATGCTTTTTAACACCCCAAAAAATCGTTCTACTACATTCCTAGCTTTACAAATTTTCTTAGTATACTCAAACTGTCTAGTACCTTCTGGATAGTGTGGCAATGGAGTCATCAGCCATGGTTCTAACGGATAACCAGCATCTCCTTAAATATACATTTATAATAATAATATAAATTATTATCTTAGTTAAAAAAAGAGAAAAAAATGTTTTTATGTATCTTAAATAGGTACCTATTAGCCATGTTTGGCGTTCACCATTATTATAATGGTACTCCATTCCACGACGCACTGGTGACATACTCCAAATATACGAGTCATTTCTAGCACCAGGGTATCTCGCATTAATATTTAAAACTTGTAATTTTGAATTTACAATCTATGATATGGGACATAGGTAATTTAAAGTATAAAAACAATACTGTAAGATGAAAAAAACTTATCTTACAGCTTGCACATTTAATGAATGTTTACCATGATGGTTAACATATGCTTCTTCATGTTGCCGAGGAGCAAGTATATGTATGTATGTACAATCAATGGCACCAATTGTACCTTCAAATGGTTGAGGAGCGTGTGCAAAATGTTCTCGAGCTCTTTGTCTTTCAGCACTAGTCATTGGAAATTTAATCCATTTTCGTAACAGACGCTGATTAATAGCTTCAGTAACATAATGTATGCATCGACTAACCGAAGGTTGGCTAATATTTAATATACTATTACCACCTAATCCTTTTTGGTAACTCCCTTGTGCATAAAAATGAAGACAAACTAACACCTAATAAAATATATTTAAATTTAGGCAATAGGCAATATTGTAATATATTTAAAATAATTTTTAAATTAAGTATTTGGAAACTATTTTAAATATTGTCTTATGCATATTTGTATTTGAAAATCAAATACTTCTATGTAAAATCTTTTCAAAATTGAATAAAATTATCTGTTCATCGAATCACATTTCAATTTGTTTTTTGATAATCATTATATTATTATTTTATTTGTAACTAAAATTTAATTATTACTCATTGATTTTAATATTTATTTATTTTAGATTTCATTAACAACCATTTATTATTAATTTTTATTAAAGTTTAATATTACAATTTTTTATTAGAGTATTATCATTTTTTTTAGTATATAATGAGGTAGGTAGTATATTATACCCAGTTCTATATCTGACATTACAACTTTAAATTATAAATTATTAACTATAAAATTAATTTTAATACTGGATTTTACAATTAAAAAGTATTTAAACACATATCAAGTATTTATTAGGTTCTTAAATTTCTTTTCTGATATATTTTAAATACTTTCCGAAT